GGACAACTATATCTTATAGCTCCCATAGGAAGGATCGGGAAAAAAAAACTTTAAAAAATTCTAGCTTCGGTGTTTTTTGAAATATTACCTTCTACTTTTGGGGATGTTATTTTTTAAATATTTCTGAATTTCGAATTAATTATTTAAAAAATCGGACTACTATATCATATAGCTGCCATAGGAACGATCGGAAAATTAATGGAAAAGTAATAGGAAATAAATTCTAGCTTCTTTGGTTTTAATTGTATTATCTTCTACTCTAGGATATGACTCTTTTTAAATATTTCCGAATTTCAATTTTAATTTGATCAAAATCGGACGTCTATATCATATAGCTGCCATAGGAACGGTCGGAAAATTAATGAGAAATATTAGAAAATTGAACATTTTTGCGATTTGTTAATTAATAAGAATGATCTGCAAGGGTATATAAGCTTCGGCTGGCCGAAGCTAGCTTCCTTTCTTGTTTTGACTTTTATTTAACAGTAGTCTTTCAGAAACCCTTTTAGGTGACTGTTAACTTAAAAGGGTCTCACCGAGTGGTTATTGAAAGACCGATTGCTTTGTTCGGTTGAGTTGAACGGTCGGACCGAAACCGACAAGTAAAACTAAAAAAGGGTTCCTGGTAATACTATACATTAGCGGGCTCACCCCCGAAACTCGCGAAAAAATTATCCTCGATGGACCGCGATTTCTTAAGAATTTACGTGCAAAAAGAATTTGGCGGTCGGCCATGGTTCTCTTGTAATTGAATTTCAAAGTTCCCGGGTTTGCTATAAAAAAAAGTATGCTTTTCTAACGTTTGCTATAAAAATCATATATGTATATATGTACCCTTTTCCTTTTTTGTCAAAATAAGACTAATTTAAAATTCCAAACATCTGAGTAATTGGTATTATAGGGAACTAGTCCTCACAACCGCGTAAAAATGATCCTCGATGGACAGCGAGTTCTTAAGAATTCTCATAACCATGGATGACCACATGTGTATTTTTATTATGATAATCAGAAGAAATCGCGGTTCAAGGAGGATTATATATTTTAACCTTTCTTTTAGTCTTTTCCACCCAAAACTAAACTTAAAGATTGAATTTGTTTTTTTCTGAGCGACACACCAACCCTAATTCAGCTAAAACTACTAGCTTAATATTGAACAAAAGAAACTGCGCCGTCTTTTTTCAAATTTCTTTTTTAAACGCACTTCTTTTAAATACTTCCTATTCGGGAGTACTTCAGCAGAGAGATATCTAGGCCATAAAAGGTTTTTAAAGAAAAAACCTGGAACTTTACCTCAATGGTGGTGCGGAAAAGTGTTCATTAAAACTTTTAATTTAAAAAAATTCTACATTTTTTTTATAGGAACTCATTTAAACAATTAAATAATTTTATAGGAACTCATTTAAACAATATATTAATTTTATAGGAACTCATTAAAACTTAATTACTTTGATTGAAAATATGAGAAAAGCACCCTTGTTTTTTATAGCAAACCCGGGAACTTTGAAATTCAATTACAAGAGAACCATGGCCGACCGCCAAATTCTTTTTGCACGTAAATTCTTAAGAAATCGCGGTCCATCGAGGATAATTTTTTCGCGAATTTCGGGGGTGACTCCGCTAATGTATGGTATTACCGGGTTCCGCTCAGAGAGAGAGTTTGTGGGCAACATTTTTTTCGGTTTTGTCGAGATTAAACTGCCTCAGGAAAATCGGTTGGCAGTTACTTGCAAGCTCTGATTAAAACTTAAATTACCGAAAACTAAGGCAAAACTGCACCGAGTTGGCAGTATACGCTTTTAGTAAATTGATCAACGAATTTTTTTTTGAAGGAATGAACTAATTTGGGGTTGGCACTTACAGGCACTTGAAAAGCAACGTACTCATTTGCCGTAAAAATCAACAAATAAGTTTATTTTAGGAAGCAAGTAAGACATACGAGCTATATTATATTTTTTATTTGTTAAAAATAATCACATTTAACAGTTTCGTCATGAGTCAAAGATCTACATCAGCATCTTTGTCTTCAAGATTTTTATACCCTTGTAGAGGGTATTATATTTTCAAAAAATTTTCTCCAATTTGTATTAAAAAAGTTGACAAATAACTCTTATTTGTTGATTTTTATAATAAAAATTGAAAATAAAGATTGAATTGAAATAACTCTTGAACTGAGGGGTGCATTGGTTTAAAATTTATATGTATGTAATCTACGATTAAATACCTTTCTGTTGATATGCCATATGTTTCTAGAATATTTTTTTTAATTTTATAAAACTAATGTTGTTTATTTAACAGGAGTGTACAAAACTGAAAGAAGAGGATGGAATTGATGTAGCAAGTAGGGATGTCGAAAATATATATAAATATCAATATATCGAAATTTTTTACGAAAAAATAATTATTTTTTTTTTAATAATTATCAGATATCATCGATTTTTTTTGCACATTATTTTGATAATTTTAAGTGGTTTCACTTTTCATCGGGACAAGAAAAAATACACATGTGAAAGATGAGCGCAGTTAAAAACAAGAGAGAACGCTATAGTCGGGTTGGTGTCCCGACTATCTAATACCCGTCACTCAGCTAAAGGGAGTGCGAGGGAGATAGATATATAAATTTTGATTGCGTATAACTTTTTAATGAATGGTCCGATTTGAAAAATGTCTTCTACATTTCGATAGGTATAAATATACACAACAAAATTGCATTTATACTTCTCGGAAATCTTTAAAGATGTGGGCGCAGGACCCATTTTAAAATCGTTAGTGGGCGATTGTGGGCGTTAGAGGGGGCGTGGCGCTCGGCTAAAATAAACTTGCGCTGCGTAGGAAGCCCAAGAATGTGTGTGGGAAATCTCAACCTTCTAGCTTTTGTAGTTTCCGAGATCTCAGCGTTCATAGAGACGGACAGACAGACAGACGGACAGGCGGACAGACGGACAGACGGACATGGCTAGATCGACTCGGCTAGTGACCCTGATCAAGAATATATATACTTTATGGGGTCGGAAACGCTTTCTTCTAGCTGTTACATACTTTTACACGAATACAATATACCCTTTTACTCTACGAGTAACGGGTATAAAAATGGGCGCCTACGCCCCCAATGGAATACTGTGAAAAAATTTGGCTGTTCTAGCTCTTACAATTTGGGCTGTGGTCGTATCCCCTTAAAAATCGGTCTTTCATTTTATAATCTTTAGAGATTACATGTGTACTTTGTACAGCCATTTTTAAAGGTATTTAAAATGTCTGATTTCATGTCAGAACAAATTATTAAATTTTACAGCTTTTAACCTATATGATTTAACCAGTTAAACTTTTTAGAATTATAAAGTTTAAATTTAACGTTTAAATTCTAAGTGACCATGCCATCTTCAAACAAATCCCAGTAGATGTATGTAAGGTGTGTTTCAAAATTATACGACACCATAAATTTCTTAAATATTTTTTTTATTAAAAGTCGTATTAAGCTGATTGTGTTTTTATTTAATCGTTATAACAAAACAAAGAATTTCATGTGAAAACAATATAATATTTGCCTCCGTGGCATAAGTTATAACAAAATCTTAATTTTAAGGTGTTTCATAACTATACGACACCATTGAATTTTTCCGGTTCCAATGATCAAACTTACCCGAAATTTTTTTTCTGGTTAAATATAAACTAAAAGATTCGATTTTGAGAGTAATCCAGCTTTAGCTGGATCTTTGATCCTTCTAATCTTCGGTCCATATATAAATATTGAATATTTCTCTCTATACCTTAAAAAAAGTTTTTTTTCGAAGTCATATCCCCCAATTCGTCTTAACTTTTGTCTGGTCAATATTCTTAACACTTTTGAATCAAACAAAAATCCTGGTCAGTGTATTACAGACAGACGAAACAGACCTTTTATTCCAAAAATATTTGATTTTGGGCGATACTTCCTGTCAAAATGCAAAAATTTGTTCTTCAAAACCTTAATAAACTTTCCACATTTCACGATTGGAACATTTGAAATGCGATCGCCAGTCTGCTCCGCCTTAATGAAATCCCATGGAGAAAAAATTTCGAAAAAACTTCAAAGTGGCGCAGACTGGGGATCGCATTTCAAATGTTCCAATCGTGAAATGTGGAAAAATAGACTATATTTCGAAAAATTAGCGGTAAATCCTTAAAAGAGGATCAAGGACGCGTGGTATTTTTTTTCGTACACATCATACATTGTTCTTTCGATCTGCATTTAAATGTTCCGCTTTATATAAACAACAACAACGCTACAACCAACACACCTTATATATATTTGTCTGTTTCTATGCCTCTAATTAATGAGCCGAGCGATCTCAACTGTGTAAGCAAATCTGTTGTACTATTAATGGTTTAAGAAAGTGGTTTTAAATGTCGCGCTTGAGTCCACGGTGATGTCAATCAAAAAGCCAACTGACTGATGCGTCATGACGTTTCAGAATTTGCCAGTAGATTTTGTTGCTCTACTTCTAAAAACCAATGTTCTTATTCTTGGTTCTTTAAAGAACATAGATCATTTATAATATAACATTTTATAAGCCAGCCTACTGTTTTATATGTATGTATTTTCTGGTAATAGGATTTTTGATTTGTTAGTTAACCAAACGACTCGAACCCCAAACTCGAAACGAATTAACATTTTTAACATTATTAAAATCGGTCAACAACTTAACGAGAAATGGCTAGCCATATAATCAAACATACAACTGCATTGGCGTAATGCACGAATTTCATACGAATTTCAAAAAAAACTAACCTTCTATCTAAATAAGAAAGTGTTTATACCCATTTCTCGTTAAGTTGTTGACCGATTTTAATAAACGATACCTCATTTTGTTGGTTGTTTTATGCACTTTAAGACAAGAAATTAAAGCGTCCTGAAAGTGGGACTCGAAAAGGACTTTTGGTACCAAGAGGACAACGAACCTAAACATTGCGCCCACAAAACAAAGCTTTTATGTGTAAAACAGCTACATTCGAAATCAAAATAGTATATGTCAATCCCGTAAAGCATTTTTGTGATGACCTGGAGGGCAGGACTTTCCTTCACACCCTTGCATCCAAGGATATCCTGAAAAAACTCAATGTCGAGGAATGGAATCAAATAACGGCGAAGGATGCAAGGACATTGGTCCAATCGATGCCGAATATGTAGACTGAAGTTATAAAACATAAAGGGTATCAAACTCCGTACTAAACTCGACGTACTTTGCCCAAAATATGGCTTTTTCTAATACCATATGCATTTGTACGCATACTTTTTCTGATGCGAAATCCGGCCAATTTGTACATTTTTATTTATATTAAGAAAAGTAAAGGTGCTAGAAATTAATAAGTTACGTCAAATTAAAGCTTAATATGTGTACTAAATGTTAAAATTAAAATGACATTTTTACGAATTTTTTTAAGACGTTTTTTTAAGCTCTAAAGTTGCGGAAAATATTTGTACGCATACTTTTTCTGGCAAGTGTATATTCTTGATCAGCACCAATAGCCGAGTCTATCTAGCCATGTCCGTCTGTCCGTTTCTATGCGAACTAGTCTCTCAGTTTTAAAGCTATCGCGATGAAACTTTCCCGAAAGTCTTCTTTCTATTGCGGGTAGTACATATTTCGGAGGGAGCCGGATCGGACCACTATATCTTAAGGCTCCCATAGGAATATTCAAACAAATATAAGAAAATTCATTGTAACTTTGTAGGAAGTAGGCGTTTTGATTCTTGACTACTTAAAAACAAAATTTAAATAAATAGAAACGCTGAATCTGGAATCTCTGGAACTGCACCGAGTGAGCATTACTTTATCTGCAAGGGTATATAAGCTTCGGCTGGCCGAAGGTAGCTTCCTTTCTTGTTTTTATTTTTCATTAATATTTGATGAATTTCCCATTTTAAAAATACGGTAAAAGAAAACTACTTGCCCGAATTCTTTAAAACTTTGGCATAAATTAGTTTAATGTGTTATGAATAGGAATTCAAACTTAATTAGGTAATTTTCTTAAAACACCACTGGCCCAGTGTGCGCCTCAGCAATTTGACGCAATGCTGAGACTAATTAATTGCTAAAAACAAGAGTCTTAAAGCAATTTAAGTGGAGTTTTTTGAATTAATTCAAAGGATGGTAGTGTGCACTTAGTAACACGAATATTTTTAAAGAAAACCAATTTTTAAATAGACATACAAAGCGAGTCCAGCCGAGTGCATTCATCACACCTTTGGGAATTAAATAGTAAGGAATTCTCTTTAAAACAAGAAAGGAAGTTAACAACGGCCAGCCGAAGTTTATATACCCTGGCAGGTATACCTACTTAACATGTTGTTATACCCTTGCAGAGGGTATTATAATTTCAGTCAGATGTTTGCAACGCAGTGAAGGTGACGTTTCCGACCACATAAAGTATATATATTCTTGAACAGCATCAATAGCCGAGTCCATCTAGCCATACCCTCTATAATACCGTCTGCAAGGGTATAAAAAACAAGATATATCTCTAGCTTTTAATTGTGCCCTCCAGTTTTCAAGAATGTCAAAAGTTTTAAATACATTGTATGTATTACTATACTATGATCTGATTGTGTAGCCAAATTACTACGAGTAGGTCCCAACGGCTGCTTAGCATTTTTCATTGGTCAGCAATGAAAAATGAAATTAATTACGCACTTTCGGTTTCCATTGTCCACTTTGTCATCGTCTAATTTCTGTTTTAAAAATTTTCTCATGCATTTGCTAGTCCCAGAAGCGGCGGGGAAGGGCCATTTGCATCAAGTTTTTCACTTTTTTATTGTCTGGTCGCGTTTTAGTTTCTGTTTCGGTTTGTAGTTTCGTTTCGGTTTCTGTTTTTGTCGTTGCTTTTACTAAATTACGTGCAACTATTTTTTATGTGCATTTCTGGCGCTGCCTTGCTGTTGATGTGAAAAATTCTGGCTGCGTATTACCGAAGAGAGTAGCACTTTCAGTTAAATTAAATAAACGAACGGCGATGAAAGTTTATCTAAATGGGGTTGAATGAACCTTCGATCTGATAAGCTCACACAAAGCGCCAGGATTAACAGAGACCTTTTCGGCAGCAAGTTCCTAGCTCCTTTCCCGTTAATCTCATCAGCCGTTTGTTAATTTATTTCAACTAAATGAGAAACACGTCCCATGGATATATGCGATCCTGACGAAACAGTTCCTAAGCCCCACCAAAGTCACTTGTTTCACGCGTACTTAACATTAATTTCACTTTCTTTCGTACTGGCACAAACTCGCCCAGAAGAGAATGAACTTTAATGGTGGCAAAAAGGGGAAGGGGAACAAGTTTGATATCAACATAATTAGTCACGTAGTTGTTATGTTTGTTTTAATGCGACGACGTACGCGTTCATAATGCCCCATTATGAGTGTGTGGCAGTCGCAGTCGCCGCAGCTGCAGATGTTATAAAATAAACAAATTATAGACGAGGAAGAAGTGCCGAAGATTTTGCGCTGGCATGAGCCAATAACTTGTAATTAACTTTATTGCCCCACCGCGGCGTCTATTAGGGGCAGTGCAGGTCGCGGTAAGAACAGTTGCTGCCGCCCATCCCCATTCTCCCCCACACAGCGGTCAGAACTGGATCTCTTGAAATAATTTAAATTTATATTAGCATCGTAACTTTAAGTAGCATAACAAAGTCCGCGGCTGATGTGGGAACCTTAGAGTTACACAGTCGCTAAGTAGTCAGGAAAGCAATTGTCTAGATCGCATCCACCAGATTCGGAACCCAGATCCCAGAGACCGGAGACCGGCAGATAGCTGGAAGAAGAAGATTTATGCACTCACCGAGGCAGAACTTTCTCGAAAGTTCACAGACACAGGCCACGGGCCCCTGCCAACAAACGTGAGCGGGCTACGTGAGGCGCATGCGTGACCGACTCTGCCCCTCAGTAGGAGTTGGGTCGGCTTGAAAGTAAAATTTGTGACGGCCAAGAGAGGCGTAAAAATTGCCCAGAACGGGGAACCGGGCTTCCAATCGGAGATGCAGTTGCAGCTGGAGCCTGCTCTGGGAGGCCATTTGCATGAGGCAAGTTGAAACGTGCATGACAAATACGGCAGGCACGTAATCTGTGTCGCTGGGGCAGGGAATGGGCCTAGAAATTATGTGGGGACTGTGTGCGATGTTTCGGGCCTGGGTGAGATGTTTGAAGAACTGCTCTGACCTTGTGCCAGAAAATTTCTTTGAGGCTTCGCCCAGCTAGCTAGTTAGTAAGCAACCATCAATGAACGACCCAGCCGACCTGAAGCTACACCCGGGAAAATTTTGAGCGAAAAACTCATGGGCTTATAATGGGAGTTCAACAAAGCGAATCTTTGCAAATGTCGTCGGCAGATATTTCATTTGATTTCCAAGAAGTGGCCGGAAATCTGCGGAAAGTCACCGCCATTCTGGCATAAATTTGGCAATTGATAGGTTTAAAGAAGTCTTTTTTTGAGTGCTTATCAGGTTAACTGGGGAGGGGGCCGCTTTGTGCCGATGCTTTTAAATGGGCGAAAGCTGAATGGCATTTTGGCCATTTTCACCCACGACGGCGCTGACGACGCTCGTCAAATGTAGTTTAGGCAACGAAAGCCGCCGCCACCGCCGCTCTGCTGGCTGGCCATTTATCAAAAGGCTGCAATTGAAATGCTTTGCGCATTTACCTTAGAGATCTGCTCGGTGCCAAGCAGAAATATAAAACGCCACCGTCAAACTTGTCCAATTGAGTGGGTCGAGGACCGTGTGCAAAAGGAATCCAGAGCTCGTCTGAATAACTAAATCGCTTCAGTCGATTTCCAAGGCAGATGAAGAGCTTTCCACTTAGTCTGAACTTAACGTATAATGGGGTGGGGGAAAGGTTGAGAAAGGCTCTCATTTGGGCACTAAGGTAGTGAAATAATTTTGTTAATCGAAAGTTGCGACGCACAATTAACAGCATGGCCGGGGCACGCCGTAACGGAGCCAAAACGGGCAGAAACAACGGCAGAAAAAGCCAAACGACACGCTGCGCTCATAAAAAGACAATAAAAAAGTGACATTTCGGCCGAAAGCTATTGGCATAAACTCAGCCGAGGAAAAAGTCAACAAGCGCCGGCGATAAGCGGTGGGGGAGGGTCAAAATCAAATCACGGTCAAAGTGGATAGCAACAATGCCGAAGCAGCATTATTGACAATTTACGTGGACTTGACTATGACACTCGGACACTGGGCTCCTCTTCTTTTCCTTTTTTTTCGAAAAACCAGACCACGGCTGGCTGTTGCTTTTTGTCGCTGACTGTTGCCCCCGGTCGTTGGTTGTTGATTGTCGGTGGCGGCTGGTTTGTTGCTGTTGGACTTGGTGTCTCTGCCCACACGCAACGTGCAAATAAATTGGAGTGCGTGTGAGCCAAATGTCTGTGTCGATGTGTGTGTGTGGCTTGGGCGAGAAAAGTGCTTTATAAGTGCCTCTCCACCAAATCAAAATCAGCCGATTCAGCCAAACGAAAGTAGTTTGTTCTATGCCTGGCGCTATTAAATTTGATGTCGAAATGAAAACATAATTAGACGGCCAGTAACAACAGCCGCTCGTCACTTCCATTATGCGAAATAGAAAGACTCGCGCAGTGCCAACAACAATCCACAGCGAAAAGTTGTTCGGAACTTGGAGCGTTGTGGCAACTCCAACTTGGCTATGGCAACATGATGACAAACACAAAGTCAAAGAAGATTTATTTAACAATAACGAAATTCTCATGAGACTCTCGATATAGATAGATGGTGTAAACGGAGCAGCGAAACACCAGCTAGAAAATATTTTCTTCTTCGACCCAATTGACCTGTGAAGTTGTGTTTTCTATCTCATGCTCATTTTTCACATTCCTGCTCGGTATATCAGATATTTGTCCTTTCTCTTCGCCCGTTTCAACGTCCTCCTAATAAACTAAAAAAAGGTTTTTGTGCATACTATAGGTATATCAAATAAAAACACCTCTAAATGAGGTAAAAAACTCGTGACGATCGCACCTTCAACGTACAAAAGTTCTGATATCAACTTTTGTGACGAAAAATGATTTTAGATGCGACTAAATAAGTACGCTACCTAAAATTTACTCGTTCGGCCCGCTTTAGCAAATATTTAATATCCACACGAAAGTTTTTTGTTGTAGCGTGCCGAACGA